CGTTCGGAGGGGGCCACCGTTCGGAGGGGGCCACGTTCTTTGTTGCTACGGCCCTGCTCGCCATGAGGCTTACACTTTGTGTAGGAGACTTTTATTTATATCATTCTAGATGCTGGACACAAACGTACCTTTTTCACATTTAAGCATTTTATAGTTGCTTAAATATAAAGGAACATTACATTCATTTGGCAACTCAGAGATGCTATGTATAGTCTGATTGTACCTGTGCTGTGGAAAGGCAGTTAATTATGATGTGGTCCACAACCCATAAATGAATGAATTAGCTATCCATAATCACCATACCGCATATCAACAGTCTATTTATCTGCTTGCTGTTTAGCTATGTACCAAAATGCAAGCAAATTTGTGATCTATTCACAAAATAAAATACAGTGCATAACCCTAGTTTGCTTATGCTGCTGGATGCAAGATGATACACAGAGAAAAATTCATGAGGACATCTGGCTGCTTAGATTACTTTTATTGTGATTTAATTATCAATTAACAGTTTAAGAAATGATATTAGCTGTTGACCTTGATCTTTTGTCTCTTCCGACTATTAAGAAAGCCACAGCAGCAAACCACTGCAGTTATCAGTTTCACGATAAAGAAATTATATATTATGCCTTCTTTCTATCTGTTAGCTGGGAACCTGTTCCATGTAAAGTCAAGCATATCTACTCTGTAGACACCCCCTAAAAGACTAATAGCTAGTAAATTAAGCCAGACTTCAAAGGCAATCCTTACTGAGACAAATTAGGCTACAGCGATAGAAAGGGCCAGCAGCAATCATTAATCTAACTGAAGGCCATTGTCTGAAACGTTCAGTTGTTTTTAAGATCAATGACCATTTCAAGATGAATAGTTCATAACTTTACAATATATCTTTCTAATTAATATACTATTTAAGCAATAAAGGATTTCAGTCTGGATTCAGTTCTTCTATACTGTAACTACTAGAATAAGCCAATTTCTTTTGTTTAAAAAAAATTAACTTGGATCTCCTGGAGTTTTAAAAGTAATTTGAGAGAAACATTTTCATAATGGTGTTCACAAAGCTGAATTTCTTGTGAGAACTTCCTTGGGTGTAAATTGATTAGTTCACAAACACACCTGTACCCTGCACCTTTTGTCATTCATTTACCTCTGTGCAAAGCAGGTGTAAGTTGCAACCATCTGGGTTTGATAGCATGTAATACCCACTTTGCATTAGTCCAAATGATGACACACAGTGTAAGGCAGTAGAGAATTAAACCCAAACAGTGTATCTGTGCCATGCTTTTTAAAGCATGGTTCATAGCATGAGAAATATTAAAGACATAACAAGGAAGCAAGTCACTTGAGTGTATGTTTGTAGGCAGCTATATGATAAAGCTGTACATGTATTTACAGAAAACAAAGCAAGCTTTATACAGACTAGTAGAAATTTTTCATTCATAATTGAATAAAATACTTTATCCACACAAGTACCTCAGTTCTGGCAATTGCTCTTGTTGCTAGCAAGTGGCTTGTATCATATGAAATTTAAATGCTCCTGTGGGTCGGTTTCGATTGAAGTATTCTCTTTATTCATGCTGGGCACTCCCAAGACTATCGGCACCTGTCAGTTAAAGGTATTATGTCAGTTGAGATGGTACTTTACAGTACTCTAGCAAACTGCTGTACCGAATACACCATTTTCCTTTCCCTCACTGCAAGGGCTCTGGTAGTAAATATAAAGCCAAAGCACTCCCTCTTGTGGACAAGCCCAAGGGAGGGGCCACATGGGGAAGAAAGATTCCCTTCTTGGAGTTTTCCTCAAAATGTTGCACCAGAGAGTGATATTTGCACCATCTGCCCCATGGAAAGGAATTGAAAATTCTATCCTTAGAAAGTTTGCATCTTAAGGATTTGTTGGAAGCCAGATTCATGCGTTTGGCGTCAGAGACTCTGTGCCCTTGAAATTGCTAGTAGGTGGTCTACTGCCTTTCTTGGTCCCTGGCAGCTATGCTAGAAAGGCTCCCTCTCCACTCCAGCCACTGGAACTACCCATAATAAAGAGGAAGGTGTTCAATGGGTCCGAGAAAGCTTGCAGAAAACTTAATGCAGTCTCAGGCTCTATTGACTTTTTAGTGGATTCACCTCTGTTTGCCTGTTATCATAACAGGTTTACTTCATATTTAGGAAAGGGGGCGGGAGGGATAGCTCAGTGGTTTGAGCATTGGCCTGCTAAACGCAGAGTTGTGAGCTCAATCCTTGAGGGGATCATTTAGGGGTCTAGGGCAAAAATATGTCTGGGGATTGGTCCTGCTTTGGGAAGGGGGTTGGACTAGATAACCTCCTGAGGTCCTTTCCAACCCTGATATTAAACAAACAAACTATAAAAGTAGTTACACTAAATAATTGTGATGGACCTTTTAATCCAGGTTTACATTAGGGTTTTCTTGCTTTTGGCAAGATTAGGTCTTACTCTAGGTTAGTAAGAATTTGTACATGTCCAAGAGAAGTCCTTTCAGATGACTACAGCATGCCAACCTGCAGTTTTAGACACCTAGTGCTTCCGGTGAGTTATGAATCCTTGAACTGTATTCAAAAGTAAATTTACATATATTCTGCAAAAGGGCTCTTGCTTCACTTTCCACAGGGAGATTCTGATAGTAAAAAAGATCAGGAACAAGAAATGAGCTGGCATTTTACTTTTGTTATGTCAGCCAGAAAGCAGCTTAGGATGCTCTGAATCATCCATTTCAGTGACTCCGCAGAAGGACACAAAATCTCCTGCAGCTTCAAGCTACTGAGATTATATACAACTGTGATGAAAAAGCAACAGCAGAAAAGAATGCAATATGAGCCTGTTTTTAGTGAACCCAAGGAAGGAAACAGGAAAAAAAATTGTTTTCTAAATAAAGTAAAATGATCTCATTTCAAAGTTCACAGAGAGCAGGTTCTTCCTGTGTAAGAAGATAATGGGGCATCTAATTCTAAAATGAAATCTTCAGGAAACAAAGTGTGACATTATATGATACTCAGAACACAAATGATTTTACAACAGCTGCCAAGTTCTCAAAGTTTTAAATAATTCCCACTGTTTGAAGTTGTGCCAGCTAGCATACCTGGAAATTATCATGTCATATATAGAAGTATAGATTAGAAAAGAAAACGGTTTAAACTAAAGGCAAAATCAGACTGTCTGATCCAGAGGCCAGATCTCTATTCCATCTCTTTACAAGTCAGATCCATGGAAGTTTTCCACATAGAGTGATGGCAGAATATTCATGGTGAACACTCACCCCATGATTTCACTGGCTGGCCAGTGACTGGGATCTGGGGAAGGATTCCAGGAACTGAGCCTGTGGAAAAGACTGAGGAAGGGCTGGCTATGAGGAATTTTTTATTTGGTTGGAGGACCTCATTACCCTACCAGCACAGAGAAAACTATCCTTAAGAGGAAACTGAAACAGCAGATGCCTCTCCACACTGGAGAAGTAAGATGACTGTTTCAACCAGCACTGTTGGCAGGGTTGACCCCCACCCATCAAGGAAAGAGCATTGTGGAAGACATCCTGTGTTGGTGACAGCAGCAACTATAAGATTAGGAGCATCAACCAAGCTTCCATCCTTCAAATTCTGTAGAGGCAGCAGTGGTCCAGTAGGAGGCATTACAAGAGATCCAGGAATGCAACCAGCAGTTCTTGGGTGTGTCTCCTGTGACAGCTCACAAAGATACCCCAAGAATAGCATCTGGACCTACCCTAGATGTGGAATTCCAGTGGGCCACTCTCATCCTCCTCACAACTCAGAGAGTTCCCTCCTAGGGATTGGAGTGAAGTGCTGATAGCCTGCTTCACTTGTAGGAGACATGGGCAGTGGACAGAGAATCTGCAGAATACCAATGATGAAAGCTACATAAAGATCAGAGCTATTCAGTATCCCCTTACCAGGGCCAGATAGTTCTAGAAGCTGCAATGGAGAACACTGCTGTCCCTACTGCTAGCCAGCTGCCCATTGTGAAGCAGCAAAGACTGTGGAGTTGGAAGGAGTTAGGAGGCAGGGAATGTGGAAATAATTAATTAGGTAATTATAACATCCATTAACCAAACTATTTTTGATGCCCTAGGCGGGAGAACAAGATCTGTTCTGGGAGCCAGGCAAACCATAGGAGGTAAAGCCAAAGGGACTGATAAACTTTTCATTCTTAGTGAAGATGATGGGGATACAGAGGGGAGAAGAGGCCAGTAAAAGGCCTGGTGGGGGGTCTCCACCAAGGGTAGGGGAAGCACTCAGCCCCAGAGGGGATGTGGAAAAGGCTTGTAAAAAAGAAGGCTCTATCATGGGAAGGGGTACCAAATGAAGGCAACATTGGTGTGGGCTTGAGGCCAAGTGTTGACCTCAAGTGTTATTGTTTAGAGGCCCCAAGCCAGGACTTCCAGATGGTGTCAGGATTGGAAGCCCCCTTTATTTCATGTATCAAGGGAAGATGAGGGCAGACCCTAGGAGGAGTATTAAGCCCAGGAAGGGCTTGTTTGTTTTGTTTAGATTTTTCTTTGCTTCAAAACACTCTACAAACCCGGGAAAGAACATCTTCCAAGGGAAACTGAGGCAGCAGATATCTCTCCACACTAGACAGGGAGATTTCTGTTAAAAATATGAATCTAAGGCCATGAGTGCTCATGTTGTTGCCAGGGAGTTACGATGACCTTGCACTTTCCATATTGCTAAATAGGATGGGGCTCTCCGCTAAATATCAGCTAAATGGGAGGGAGGATCCTGGGCAGAGTTGTAGTATGGGAAAGGGGGTCTTGGGATGGAAAAGGTTGAGGATCACTGGTGTAGGGGACTTTTTTGCCTTTATTTCTGGAATGGTTTGTGTAATTAATGGGACAATTTGGCCCTAAGAATAGTTTTTATTTTCCTTCATTTGTGAATTTTGTTACTCAGAAAGATTTTAGTTTTGTTTATTGTTTGGCAAAGATTTGCTATTTCAATGTTTATTTCTGAATTCAGTGATTGCTACTGCCTTTAGGTAGCCAGAGTATAAGAAATGACTGAATAGAACAACAAATGCCACATCTGAATATTTCATTGTTAATTTATAAGGGCTGTTATTTACAGAATGAAGCAGCTTCTCTGATTCATGCCATGGAAAATCAGAATTATATCTAAACTGTCCTCTGATTTTGGGATTGTATTATGTTCCTAGATTAAATGTGAGAAGATAATGATGCTGAGTTGGGCTGGTAGAAAAATGCAGTAATGATTTTTGCACAAAAAATTGTTGAAATTTCAAAAAATAAAAAAAATTGGAACAGCCACAATGCTGATGAGTAGTCCTCTATATCTCTCAAATAAAGACAAGATAACTGGAGGAACAAGATCTTCACCTTGCATTTAACTCTTGTAAACTATATTTTAGTTATATTGCAAATATCCCTAAAAAATCATCCCTACCAAACATCCTTAGGTTAAGTGTGTCCTGACTTACATAGCTTTAATATACATTTTTTTAAAATAGCCACTTAAAAAATGAAACTACAGTGAGTGTTCAAACAAAATGTAATTAAATTAATAGGTAAACTCCGTAGAGCTGATACAGCTCATGAAAAATGTACTTAGATTACTCTCTGTGAGCCAAAAACAAAAATGTATAAAAACTACCAAAAGAAAAAGTATCTTTAACACTAACACTCTGGCTCATTTTGTTTTCATCTTCTTAAAAAGTTGGGTTTCATTAAACAATACATGAAGGGATGTGCAGGAATGGGCGAATTGAACCAAAATGGACACTTTTGCAGGCATATTGGCTAACACTTTAACGTCAAATATATTTTATTTGTTTTTTTGGGGTCCTTCTGCTTTCCTTGATCTGGCCAGGACCTAAAGGCAGTCACAATCATTTCAGGCAGAAATAAACACTGAAATAGCAAAGCTTTGCCAAATAAAAAACAAACTAAAATCCTTCTGAGTAACAAATAATTATTATATATATTAAAATGTGTATGTGTGTATATATATATATATACACACACACACACACATTTTAATATACAAATATTAAACATGTTAATATTTTACATTTATAGTGAATTTTTCATTCATAGATCTTGTAAGTAAAAAGATTCCTATTATAAAGATGGGGAAACTGAGGCACAAAAATGCAACTTGCTCAAGGTCAGAGAGTGAGTCAATGGGAGAGTTGGGACTAGAAGCTTATCTCCCAATTAAATCCCTGTCTACTGGAACACACTTTCTCTCCTTCTGTTCTCACAACATTTCCAAGGCATGTTTCTAGCCCAAAACGGTTCAGGAAAATTCACACAAGTAGCCAAACTTTTGGTGCTTCTCTGAGCCTTCTAATTGTCACTCACTTCTTTCTCACTTCCACTAGATGTTTTGAGACAGAGCTATATTTATTTAAAAAAAAAAACCACCCACAACAAGCAATTTTTTAGAACTAGCAGCCCATCTGTTAGATTTTTGTTTATGTATTGACATGTAATTGGGCAACTGGAGAAAAATGAGCCCCAAATTTGTTAGGTGTTATTTTCATAAAGATTACACTTAATAATGTTGATATGGCCTCCATAATTTATTTGATCTAAACCCAAATTACGACTTCCCACATATATGACATAACTAATGAACTGTGAAAGGAAAGCTGTTCAGATGGTCACCAATAACCAATGCTTAGTTAATCCTTTAAATAAACTGGAGCTCACAATGTGTCCCTTTGAAGTCATAAATAATGTATATTTTTCTTTTGACTTTTAATAAGCCTGCGGAGTTCATCTCACAGTCTCCAAACACATATATTTTATTATGGGCCTCTGCAGTTTACTTTAATTAGTGTGTCTGAGTGCTTTGGGAGACTTAGCCCTACTGAAAACAAACAGAGTCTTACCATCTATAAAACATTAGCTCCCTTTGGTTTATCCTGATATACCGAGGCTCAGTGAGAAACACATGGTGTAAGTAAACACTCATAATTGCATTAGAATTCCCATGTGTATTGGTAATTCAAGCTCTGTTTCATGATATTGTCAGAGCAGTTAAGACAGGTTTACCAATCTTGTGGTCTTCTGGGATTTCATGAAATTCCATTTGGAGCAAACTTGAAATGACAAATCTAATAGAAACAGCAGAAGACAAAACAAGCCACAGAGGCACTGAAATGCAAGTACAGTGTTAAAAAACCTGCTGTGTAATTGGATTTCTTACACAGCTGGGAAACTTCTCATACCTGAATTATCTCTGCTCATTTATTAACGTTTGTATACGATGGACGCATGTGTGTGTGTGTGTGTGTGTGTGTGTTTCTTCTATGGTGCCATGACTAACTTTTGGTGCAGTGTGTCAAGCAACTTCACATTCCTATTTCTGAATTAATTTCCCCAGAAAATGATGGATTACAGTTCCAAAACAGTACATGGACAATAAAACAAAGACCTCAAATTTAAAAAAACCCAGTGAGTTGAAAGATAACATGCCCCCAAATATTGTATGTGCTATTAGGAAGGAAGAATTAGGTGTTAAAAGATTTCCACTGTAAGGAAGATTTGAAAAAAAAAATCTTTTGCAAAAACAATTTACTTTGCCAATAATTTTCAGTTTCCTTTTGGTAGTACTGCACAATACCATCCATATGAGACAGTGTGTCTAAACAAGCAGAAGCGGTTGGGGCTGAGTGAGAAAAAGCCTTAGTTAAAGCACAAATATCAGATTTAGATCAAATATTGCTAATCAAACAAATTATGTATGGTACAGTTTATTCCATTTAGGTTGTTATGTTGAGCCCATCAATGTGATATCTGAGCAGCTTCCCGAAGGGCAGTAAGCAATATTCCTAATTAAAACAATTATTAACAAATCTGGGGTTCACTTATGTGACTACACGATAATGTTCACTGCAAGAGAGTATAACAACATTAAAAACATCCATGCAAAATGAGGAAAAAGCATGTACATTAACAAATACAACTTTCAGGAAAATGTCTGTAGTTTTGTGCTGTTATACTCCTGAGCCGTCCTCACTATGAAACTTCCTTTCTAATCGGACTGGTGTTTTCTGCTATTAAAGTATTACACGAATTGGGGGACATGGGGAATCCTGCTCTTTACGAGTATTTACCAAAACCCCCCTGTAATATAACTTTAAAAAAAATCTGAATTGTATTGACAGACCAATGTAAAAAAGCGAGAGTGACTACTCACAAAGTCATTCTACTTCCTTGGTGCCTGACTGTGAACTCTTACTTCCCATGGGTGAGAAATTACTCACATGCCAAGTGACTGCTTACCAGAGGAATACTCCGATCATTCAATTTTCCTGTATTCTTGCCATTCACATACCACTGAAATAGTTATTCAGCTAAACTGCCTGCCATTAAGTTGAGACATAAGTTCTGACCCCTGTTACTGGGCTCTTGAGGTCCTCAAGGCTATGGTACTGTATCTTCCTACTTGCACAAGCCAGTCTTTGTGTATTCTCCTACTTTTGTTGTTGTTGTTGTTTTTGCATTTGGGTTTTGATTTGTTGCTGGCACAGTGCATGTGCACCTTCTTCACCCCCTCTTGTGGAATTCTCCTCCCAAAGATTTGATAGTTATTTTAAAGTCCAACAATGTTCTTTACCAAATGTTTAAAAAACTTTGCTTTTACTTTAAGATGACTGCTGTAAACAGCACTAAATAAATTAATAAAGCCATAATGATTTAAGGCCAATTCTTTCAAGGGCATAGAGGAGTCAAAACAAATAATTGCTGCAGTTTTGCTTTATGGAAATGGGGAGGATGTGCCAAGGGCCAGTGCAGTTACCTGCACGATGTGGAGATGAACTCTATTGTGGCTGACTCAATGGGAGTTCATAGTGGTGGTGAGGGTTGTGGGTAGGTTTTGCAGTTGTGGGGATCCAGCAGCAGCCATGGAATTGTATCCTGCACCCAACATGGGGAGAGGATTCTCTCTCTCTCTCTTTTTCTAGGATCCCTGTCCTGGGGTTGTAAATTTCACTCATAGTAACTAATACAATAATTCTGAACCCTGGAGCAATATAATTTTTTGGGGAGGAAACTTCATTATTTGAAGACATAATCTTGAGGATATTGTTTATTCTGTTTATCGAGCCATTTTATCAGCTGCAGCCTAAGTACATGGAGCATAAGACTGGAGGGTGGAAAAGTAGTTCCAAGCAGGCCATTTGTACTTCTTTGCTCCTGGTGCTGCTTAGGGCTGGCTCCTTTGTGCTATGCCAGAGTAGCCCTAATATTGCTCTAACTTCCACCTGGAAGAAAACAACTGTAGCTGAGGGCAGGTGTAGCCCGAGGGCAACTCCATCCAAACCACATTTCTGCTGACCACACCCCATTTTTCCTGCTATGCTGGAAGTAGGGAAGGGAAGTGACAAAAGAGCCCCTACATTGGCTCTATGCCACTGGGGGACCAACTTTATAACAGACTGAAAAGATTGGCTCCATCACCATGTTATGTTGGTAGTTCAGCCCCAAATGGCTGCACTGTATTGGAGGATCTAGCCTACTGTGCCAAATGTACTGTACATCTTGTGCTAGATTACTGGACCGAGTGCTAGTCAGGACAGAATGTGGCCTATTCCTTAAAAATGATTTATTTTGTACAGATACATCTGAACCTCATAGGATGTTGATGTTCTAATAGGGCTGCAGTACTTACAGGTTTGCTGAGGCTATAATTTTAAATCCCTGTTCCAGGATTTTTTCCTATGCATTATATTGATCTACAGCATTTAAAAAGGACAAAACAAACCACAGTTTATAAAAGCACATTATATTTATAATAAAATATTTAAAGCAGTATGTAAATACATACAGAATCAACTCTTGATAAAATCAAATGATCAAGACAGGGCATAATGGGGGAGTTATTTAAACTGAGACTGACTCTCATTCATTTGTTGCTCTAGTGGATATAAAAAGATAAATTACTCTCTTGGAAATTGAGACACAATCTTATTTTTTTAAATGATATTTTGCTTATCAGGTTTTCATTAGACAAGTCAGCCTGCTTTATATGTTTGTACAATTTAAGTAGGCTCTTAGTCTGTTTGTTAATCCACCATGTTTATTTAAAGCTCCTGAAGGAAGTTATTAATCTGTCAAAACTTTAAAGATTTGAAGCTGATAAATAAATGAACAATGCTAAATAATTCTGTGTGTCATCTATAAAAACCGAGTGTTAGTGCTTTTCTCCATGGGGGTGAAGACTGGTTTGCTTTGAAATTACTCAATGTTTGCCTACATTACAGTATTGCCAAACCCTGTGCTGTCTGCTGAGCACACCCACTGGCTTAAACAAGGTGCCTTCCTGACTGGAATGGTTGTTCAGGAACCAAAAATATGCTTTAATTCAGTTTTCATTTTCATATCACAAAAGGTGCTATGGAATGACTTCCATTTGCAAAAGAAAAAGGCAAGCACAATTAAAAGCTGAATCTCTAATCCCCCTGCCTATGGCTTAGAACTGGAGCCAAAAGAAATATTGTCTTAACAGGTACATGTCCCCTGAGGGGAAGCACACCCCGGACCACCTACCTGCTGAAATGAAGAGATAATAGGATGTTCAGTTGTATCAGTGGCCAACAAATTGTACTTTGGCTTCTGTGGCTGACAGAAAAGCATAGAATTAGTGGGTGGCAAATGAAAGCTCTATTTTCTGACAGTGGGTGGATAAGCCTTGTGGCAAATCAAACAGCATATTTCCCAGCTCCTGTCTCCAGCAGCCAAGTCATGTATTGAGACGTGAGAAAAATCTGTGTATGAGTATCTGACATTTGTGTGGAGAGACATTTATAAGTGATTGAAGGGCAATGTGAACTGCTAACCACTAATTAGGCTAATTGACACTAAGAGTGGGTGACTGCTGCTGCAAAAACACTAATTGTTATATTGTGTTTCCACTACCTGAAATAAATTTGGTTATTAATAAACGGCTGTTAATTTTACTATGTGGAAAAAGTAACTATTATATTAATATTGGGGAAGTATGGAATTAAATCTTTGTTATTAAGGGTACTTGCTTAACTCTGAAGGCATACTTGCCATTGACAATGACTCAGGCATGCTAGGTGGAGGGTTTTACTTCCTTCTACTACAGTGAATTACTTTCTTCCGTCTCTGTTCACCTTCAGGTGAAAACTACAAGGAGATCTATTTCTCTGGATCTATTTCTCTTACCAGGGAGAATCATAAACTCCAGAGGACTATTGCACTACTCAATTAAGTGTTAACAAAGCATAGTTTAAAAATCTGACCATGTATTCTATCCTCATAGTTATGGAGAAAAGCAAACCCTAACTGCTCAAACATGGTAAGGCAAATTATAAGTGGCAAATGAATTATTTTTAAAAATATTATGATTTTAAGCTAATCTCTTGACTATTCTGGGGCCTGATTTATGATTTTTCAACTCTTGGGGTTGGCAATACTGTTCTAGTAATGAAAAAAAGCAAAACATACAAGACGTTGCTAGTTTCAGGACAAAACATGGAAATGAAAAGAATCAAATTTGCTGGAAATTCATTTGCCTTTGTGAAACATTCATGATAATTCAAAGCAGAACTTTTAGCTCTCTCTGGACAGGCACAAATTGTTCAAAACATTTTTTATAAATTTCTCATGAGAGGGTGTGCCATAGCAAATCATTTACTTGATAGATTCATCCTCTTTCTGCGTACAAAAATGTCCATGAACAGACTACAATTTTCTCAAATTTCCTTCATTATTTCTGGTGAGTTTTGATGCTATAGATTAGTGATACTCAGATCTCAGTGGTTCTGGAGCCAAATTAGTGATCAAAATTACCCAAAAGAGTCACGGAAGTGTGAATTCATTGTTTCATTTACTATAGTACTATATATTCATATTTAAATAGTATGACGGGAAATATTTGTTTTAGATATATATAATTCTCACAGCAAAATGACTAAGTATTATTATTTTATCAACTACAATTGGTTAATAACATAGTAAAAGCATCCTGATTGGTTAATAACTTAGATTGGTTAATAATTAAATCACACAGTGTTTTAATATCGTGTTGCAAAGAGCTGCAGGAGACGCATTAAAGAGCCACTAGTGGCTCTAAAGCCTCGGTGTGAGTATCACTGCTATAGATTGATCATTTGTAGGTTGTGAGTGGCCCCAGAAATGACTGGTTGTGATTATCATCATCATCATCAGCAGCAGCATGACAGTGTTTTTTCCCCCTGACTGGATAATCATATCTCTTATGTAGAAATTAGGAGGAGGAGGGTTTGAGTATCAGGGCCTTTGAATCTCTCATGGAGTGGGATGAGGTACTGTAAACAGGATTGGAAAATTGTAAGCTTTCCCCCTTTCTGGGTAACACAGGCCTTGCCCAGTGTATTATCCTTATAAACATTTGCATCTCATAAGGTTTATTAGCTCGGAAAACAATTTAAATTATATTTTATCAGACATTCCCACAAAGTAACTATTAGGCCCTGATCCTGCAAACAGTTAGCACGTGTGCTTAATTTTAAGCACTTCCCCGCTTATTTCAATTGAGCTTAAAGTTAAGCATGTGCATAAATGTTTATAGGTGCAGAGCTTTAATGTGCATGCATGGTAACACTGTTGCTAAATCTGTGATCGATTCTTTATCTACTTTATTTAACTGACTCTGATCAAGGCTCTTGTGGTTGCAGAGTTAAAACTGACTTTTCACAAGCTTCCAAACCCCTAAAACTGAGTCTGAATCCATTGTGTGATGAAAGGGAGTGAACACAAAAAGGGTGCAAACATGACCAAAGTTTTATAAAGCATTTTTAAATTTGAGCACTTCTTTCCAGAAAATGTTTTGCAATATGAACCCACAGTAAAACTTGTGGAAGTGTGTTGACATGGTATGTCTTAATTGTGAGCTGTCTGGGTCAGCAGGAACCTTGTGTTCTTACTTTTCTTTGAAGCACATAGCACATTGTTGCTATTACATAAATAATAATGGCAAGTCTTCCGAGTCAAAGGTACACATCTCAGCCCCCATAAGCAATGAAATAAAACTCACCACTTGTGTTTGTGCTTCGTCTTCTCCGTGTTGACCCTGAACAACCTCCAAACTTAAAACAATGATTCTATTGATGAAATGCTTGAAACCCTTTCAGATCAAAATGAGAAAGTTTCATTACAGTGTCATGTATAAAACAAAAAAGGTAAATGGGAAAAGGATGTAAACCGAAGCAAATACCAAGTCTTACAACAAGATATTTTGCTCTTACTTCGGACAGAGTTCATGACATGAGCTACACTTTGACTGGATTCCATTAAACATACAAAGAAAGAAATGAAATATTTTACTTAAAGTTATTCTTACACCTTAAACTTTATTGAAATCGAAGCATGCAAAACGAAGTCCTGCACTGTAACAGTGTGCCTACTTGTGTAATGATGAGAGGGAAGAGAAGATGAACACCATCTTTGTTTTTTTCCCTTTTTTTATTCTCTGATTTCCCTCTAATGAAAGAAAAACTCTTCAGCTCAAGTCATTTAAGACCTATAGAAACATATCATCACACCCCCTCCACCCACATCCATCCCAAGATTTTCCTTGTCTCATTCACAGTTTAATGTAAAAAGTTTTGCAAATGTGTATTTTTTGAATTTCACTGCTCAGTTGTTTTGTGTGTGTGTAGTAACCCATTTATTTTACCATTTACAGTAGAAAATAGATTGTTATATCTAAACATATCTGTAATTATTTGAAAAACTCCAAAAGCCATTACTCTATTAAACTGACAACCTAAATTTGTCCTGTGCTTATTTAATTGGCTTATTAGACATAACCATAACACATTCCTAGATAAGAAGCAGCGCTGGTTTGGCCTGGTTAAAGTAGTGGTATTTTTGAGTTATTTTAACCTGACAACACTTTCAAGCTAGAATAATTTGACAGTTCTATCAAAACGAAGACTCCCAAATGGTAACTAGTCATCAAATAACTCCCTTCTAGGTCAGATATCATTGATAAAGTACACAAGCTTGAAAGATATGGTCTGGTCATTGCCAGAATGAGTTTGTCTCACTAACTTATAAATCTGGCTAATAATTTAACCCACTTAAACTGTGCTTAATAAACTCTGTTATGTAAGTAAGGGGAGAGGAGCAGAAGTAAATTAAAATATATTTCAATAATTCAGGACAGATTGAAATCAATGGGAGTTTTACCACAAGCTTCAGTGGGATCAGGATTTGGCCTGAATGCTGATGGGACTGAATGCTTCCATATCTTTAGATCCAGATATGTGGTTTGATCCCATTTCTACTTTGTACCCACATAGTCTTTTTCATGGTGCTTTCCACCAGAGGCTCTCAAAGTGATTTACAAACATTAATTTAGCCTCTTAGCTCTTTGAGGTAGGGAAGTATTATTCTCATTGTTGAGAAAGTGAAACGGCAGCACAGAGAGGTTAACTAGCTTACCCAAGCTCACACAGCACGTCAGTGGCAGGGCTAGGAATAGAACTCATATTTCCTTAGCTGTGTTCTAATGCTCTAATGACGAAACTACAGTCCCCCCACTGTGCCTAGTTCTGTGTTCAAACCAATAGCCAATAATTCTAGTTATCTAGAAACCATCAAACCAGCCGTTCAAACTGAGCTACTAATCCATGTGAAATTGTTCAAGGACTTCAGCCAAATGAGCTACCGAATATATTAATCAGGTACATGTTTCCTGGTGTTAGCCAGTTGCATCCTATCAATGTAATTGGTGTGATAATATGTAGAAAAGTCACCAGCAGTTAATTTGTAAGAGGCACTAAATCTTGCTTTGTTCAATAACTTTTTCTTGTCCAAAACCAGTTCTCCTGCTGCGTCTTGCTTAACAAGCTGAATGCTATAAAGCTGATGTTTACAAATACCCGAGGATATATGCACACTGTATAGGACAGATTGAAATCAGATAACTGGATGAACTTTTATAGGAGACACTGCACTGTGTTTCTCACATAATATTATTGACACCACTGTGGAGTTAAGTGACATGCCTCTCAGCTGTAAAGTTAAAGTTTATATACTCTGGATTGCTGGCAGAACTTCAGTCTTTCATAGTTATCCATGCTATAGTCCGTGCCTTGCAATAAAGAACAAACTTGTAGCTTTCAAGACAAACAAACTTCGCTACTGAGAGGGAATGGGAATGTGTTCTGCTCCTGGATGCTGTGGAACCTGTTTCTCAATTATAACTTTTTTTAGGGTGTGATGGGGAAAATACATCAGAGGACACTGTACATCTCTCAGTTTCCTCCTACTCTGCATTGGCTAAGAGTATTAAGATACTTATCTTGATGGTAGAAGGAAAGGTTTTCCCCATGTTTTCATTGTGGACTTTTTACATTTGGCCTAAGACTTTGCACTCATTCAGTGTGGGAGAGAGAGAAGGAGACAGAGATAAACAAATAGAGGGGAAAAGAAATGGAAGTAAGACAGTCATAGTGCTAGTATAGGGACAAGCACCTGAGCTTTAGAATCATCCCTCAATTTGTCTCTAAGGAACTGTAAACTGATGTGGCTTAGGCCTTGTTCTAGCCTACACACATGTGAGTTACACGAACATTGACTCTTTTAGATGCAGTGTAAATTATACATCAGTAAGCGGTTGTCAGAATTAATACAAAAGAATAGAGCAGAGCCTGATTGACTGACTTTGGGAATGAACAGAGAATAAACCAGTGGAATTTAAAGATGAAGGGGTAAATTACATCAATAGACTCACATCTGAATGTGTACCCTTTTTTTTTTTACTTCTGAGTGAGGCCATTTGTTTGAAGGTATAACACAATTAACAAGAGAAAGGCCAAAATATCATCTAATTGGCATCTAAATAACAGTAGTGTGATAATGTCCACATTTTTCCTGTAGACAAATGTCTATACATCAAGCTTCACTCCACAGCACAGCCAGTTATGAAATCTAATGGTATTTCAGGATTCCACACAAAGACATGGATTTGTCATTTTAATGCATTGAGGTGGATATGCTCATTTTTGTGACTCCACCTGAAAGCACAACTTATTGTTCATCTAATTCTGCTGTGTTCCATGCCCTGAAAAACCTATTACAGTGACCAGTACTTTACAACTACATTCTATACTCTAAAACCATGAAAGATTCAGTCCCCAAACTGTTTCAGTTTAATTCACGTAAATAAGGGCAGAGTTTACTTTGTGGAGGCAATATTTTTTTCATTATAATAAAAATTCTAGTATTAAAAGCTGCAGGTTGAAAGAAAAGAGTAAACATTTAATAAGAGAAAAGCTTTAAACTGTTCTAGATTTCATGCACTCTTTAATAAGATGAAAGTAACATTTTGAAGTCTTAGACTCTCAGAGAAACATTTTGAGGTGTGCTGTTACTACATCTCATCAGCTTTTTGCAGTCAATAGCTATTTCAGCTCTTATTGTGGTATGTTTGGCAATTCACTTAAAAGATTACCACTTAATCTAGTTAAGTAACTTTGGCTTTAAGCAAGTGTCTATCTGTCCATCCAGTTGCTTATTCTTTTTTCTATCTTAAAAAATAAAAGAAACAAACAGCGGCGGGGGGGAGGTGAAGGAGGGATAAAAAGGACAGCCCAGCTCGATCTTGTTCTGTTTTTCATGCAGCTTTGAATTTTACTAGATAGATAATTCTTTCTGGACTTTCTAGATTGTACTTTATGCATTTTTAATGTAAAATGTTAGTGCATATTTCAGCTTGTTATAATGAGCAATCCCACTCACTAATGGGACATTTTGATCTTAATTTAGCAAAGGACTCTTTTCAGGAGGAGAGGATGAAGGTTAGAGCTGGTTGAGTCTGGTAGTCTGCTAGAGCTGTATTTTGAGGAAACTTTGAGGATGGGATGAGGTAGGGGTACAATTATCCTTGGAAAATCTCTAGATTTGCACGCTGGTAACTGCAAATAGAATTTGGCCCCAAAATCAGACTTAGTTCCTGAGGAGCCCTATCTTTTTTGCTATATATCCCTGCCTCATTCAGTGTACCATCGAACCTGGATGATGAATGAGGCAGAGTCCTGGTGAAAAACAGAACTCAAGTGTGTAATTAAAGATTGTACCATAATGCACAAGGGGATGGAATTAAGGTTTTCACCTTAATTTTGGCATTCCCTAGCTTTTCAGCCTTTCATTTTGTAGCCTAAATTCTCTTTTAACATAGTTTATTTTCTTTCACTTCCTAGGTTTTTAAAAAGAAAAATGACAGAAAATGTCTAAATTATAGATTTTTTTATAACTTTTCTTTAATAATAGAAATATTTTAAAAAATCCAAAATATCATTATTTAGACAGCATTGGAATGCTCTGCCTTACACAGGATGCACATTCAGGGCCTGATACAAAGTCCATTGAAGTTAACAGAAGTCTTCCCAATTGAATTCAATTGTCTTTGGAGCCCTGCTCATTCCACATGGATCCTCCAAGAGGTAAAATTGCACTCAGCTTCATCATGGATACACATGCAGTGATAACAGAGTAGTAGGAGATAGCTATTAAAATCCTTTATTCTCATTTATAATTTATTGCACATATACACAATACATTTTTAAATCCTTATAGCTTGGCCAAAGCCAAATGGACTTTCACCAGACCACCCATAAAACATCTGAGATTTACATCCCTGCCAAATTTCAAGTTTCTGTTCAAGACCTCTGACATACCAGAGCTATTAAAAAATAAAAAAAGTTGCAAATCTTTTTTTTATAGTAGCAAAAGTGTATTTTTCACTATCTAAAATAAAAACACCTCTCTCTTAGTGCTTTTCATCAACAGGTCTCAAAGTGCTTTACAAAGGAGGTCAGTATCATTGCTGCCATTTTACATATGGGGACTGACTGAGGCACAGAGAAGAGATGTGATGAGCCCTAGGTCACTCAGCGGGCCAATGGCAGAGCTGGGACTAGAACGCAGTCTCTTGAGTCCCGGTTCATTGCTCTATCCACTTGGCTGCTCTGCCTCTCTCTCTGTACTCAGAAATGGCCATGTCATTTTTTGGCTCAAACTTCTAAGTAAAATTCAGGGGATAAATAAATTAATGGAGATATCCTATCGCCTAGAACTGGAAGGGACCTTGAAAGTCATTGAGTCTAGCCCCCTGCC